ATGGAGATTCTTCTTGACTATGTTATATAGTGTTACCATTGGAATTTGGATCGCTTTACCCACTGACCTTTCTGCTTGTGGATTATCACCTATTACAAGATTCCACACTAGGATTACCATGGCTGAGGTATAACTTGTTGCATATCACTTTCTGGAAAGTCCTGGTGATCCATCTTCCTTTGTTTTCTAATGTCATTAAGTATAAGGAATTCCCATCTTTGGAATTCAAAATTCCTGATTTAAATACATCTCTGTGATCTGAGTGTATGAATATCTTTCTTCTTCAAAAAGAAATTTTCATTCTCAAAAGCAATAAATTTTTGGTGGCATCACACTATATAAAAACACCAAATAATGTCAAAATGTAGTTCTAAAACATGCCACACCACTATAGGTTTAGATAGGTTGTGACTGTCACTTGAATATGGAAAAACGTTATACTAATATAATAATAAGTTGCCAACATGACTTGCTAATATACAAGTTCAAAATGATTTTAATATAACATATTCAATCATCTGTATACTTCTAGTTTGACAATTCATTTAACTAAATGGGGAAAAATCATGCAGCAGGGGAAATGCATGATGGATGGGGTAGGATCAGGGAAATGGATGTGTGGTTTAAATGTTATTCAGCAAGTTGTTAGGGTTTGTCAATGAAGAATTTAGGTTTCAATATAGCCAAATAATACACTTGCATGTGGAAAGACCATTTCTGTTTCCTACTGCAAACCCGCTCAACTCTTTCTAAGTAAGACGTTTGATGACTCTTACTAAAATTCTAATAAATGCATTGATTTCTGTATTGACTATCAGTTTTTGTAAAAAAGATGATGTTCGTTGCATGTGGAAAAACCTTTCAGACTCTTAAAAACTCTCATGCAATGAACATATGAAGATGCTGAAACCCTGGTTCTAACACTAAACAAACCATGTTCCTACACTAAATTACATAAATCACTAATCTGAACTCAGATTTACTGGAAGTGATCTACTCTCACCTCTTCTTCTCTGCTAACATGACATATATGAATGGAGCGTTGATACAAACTTGCCAACAGGATTACTGCAGCTGTTGTCTGGCTTTCAGCATGCACACAAATAGGAAGACTCAATGGCCAGTGTTCAAAATGCTGAAACATTGAAATATTAATGTTTTTAAATAATAATCAACATTTCCTTAAATGCTTATCTATGTTTTTGCCTAATTCTAAGCTTTCAATCATTAATGAAAATATATTTACTACTTCAAAATTTTATAGTGGAATAGTTGAGTGTTGTTGTTTGCAAAAATGTTGCTACTGCTTTACAAGAGTATTTAAATCATTTGGTGAGTTTGGTAAATTAATGGCAGGTGTTTTGTTTTTATTTTATTTATAATAAACATAAGGTAATACATGTGAGTTACCATAATTTGAATTTAAAATATGAATGTGATGGGAAGAAATGGCTCATGGTGTTCTGGTTGGTCACATATTAAACCATCCAAACAATGTGCTGTTGCTAGTGGCAGGACGAATACTGAATACAGGTCTAAAGAAGTTATAATCTCACTGTAGATGTCACTGGTTATACCACATTTGAAGTATAAAGTTCAGTCTTCAGCTCCTTTTCTAAGGAAGAACACTGAATTGTTGTAAAGAGCTCTAAGTAGAGCTAAAAGGATTATACAAAATGATCAAAGATTGTCATACAAAGAGCTTTGAAATTGTTTACTCTTGAAAAAAGAAGAGTTACAGGGAACCTATTTGAGGTGTCTTTAAGGGACACAAGTAAACATTTTATCAGGGTTGAAGTCTTGTTAAGCTAAGAAAGTTTTATTTTTCTGACAGGGAGTTTGGCCTTTGGAATGGGTTGCCTTCAGATTTGGTGGATGTATTAAATTTAAGAGAGTTTAAGAGAAGGCTTGATAAATATTTGAAGTAAAAGGGTTGGTTTTTATTTTTTATTATAGTGAATGTGACAGCTTAGTTGGACCAACAGGTCCCTTGTCTTTAGGTTTTAAAGAACACAGAATGGATTATCATCTATAGAACATAATGATATGGATTGAAATGGGTGGCTGCTCCTGATAAGTTGGCAAAACAAAAAGAGAAAGAACTTGAAAAGCAGATGTAAGAGGTGCTCCATGAGACAAACAAACATAGGAGCCAGTCATCTAAATTATTGTATAAATTAAAGTGCCTTTCATGTAGTCCAGCTGATGAACATAAGAGCTAAGGTCCTTTGAAATGAAATACCCTAAGCTGATAAAAATCTTGATCTTTGGTAAAAATAAAGAAACTTCTTTAACTCTATAACAACTAGTGAGCAGGTTTCCCTTGTGGAGTGCAAACTTGCATATCAAATTTCAAAATTAATAAAAATAGTAATTCTAACTGTATTTTAATGATCTTTTTACACAAAAAATATTCAAAAATTGATACTGTGTAAATTTGCAAAACTTATTTTGTGTAATTTAGCAAAGTATAATTAAAAAAAATTGTTTGAACTTTAGTCTCTATTTGTTTGTTTGTAATTAAGTACAATGATACACAATGGACTATGTGCGATCTGCTCACCATGGGTATCAAATAATGCCCCTATGGCTGATAGGGCAAGCATATTTGTTGGGACAAGGATTCAATCCAGCGACCTGCAGATTGCGAATCGAGTTATATAATTAGACATGAAAATTAATATGCTATTACTAAAATAACTAATACACAACAGTTATAGTTTTTGACAAAGTAATGCTATTTGATACATATACATTTTACATAGTATAGAGGAATTCAGAAATCAAAATATTTTTCTAAGGTTTTTAATTATGTATGTGGGCAGGATTCTTTAGAGTAGGTGTCTGTGACTTGTTTTAAAATAATATATTCAAAAGAAGTCAAACATATATACAAAAATTTGTTACACAGTTAATCACTACAGTTGTACACAGAGCTTTAAATAATCACTTTTTTTTTGTCAGTAGTCCACACAAACTGGTTCAGTTACTTTAGAATCCAACTGACAAGACAAATTATTCTTCTATACTCTTTTATCACAATACAATTGGTGATAAATTCACTTACATTACCCCTGTGGTTGGATATGCAAGACTGTTTAGTGTTAGTTATTATTTCGTTCATTTAGTTAGTTCATAACAAGAGTGTGAAAAGTTAATTAATTTAAAGATAACAGGTATGACAAATTTTACTAAGTAACTCAGTAATTGTATGTTGTGTATGTAGTTAACTGTTGTCATTTGATGTCACTTACTTAAACCTTCTATATTTTTCTCATCACCTTAAGTGAGTATTGTTACATTATAGCATCTCCTACTTTGTAGAAAGATCTAGGCCTCAGTTGGGCAATATATATATATATACATAAGTGACCAAGTGAGTACAAGTTATGTAATAAAACGTTAAGTTAGTGAAAATGAAGGACTGTGTGATTCTTAGTTTAGTCATAAAAGGCAATATCTAAAGAGAGTTTCACAGTGGTATTGTAATAACAGAGATAAATAAGAAGACTTATTCTTGTCCAAGGGTGTTCTATGGTAATTGAACCCACCTCTGTGGACTTTGATGAAAATGAGAAAATTATTTGATGTTCTGGGTACATCTGTGGTAACCCTTGGGGGAACATAAGTGAATCTATTGCAGATTGTGCAGTAAGAAATAGAGTAGAAAAAATAATTTGTCTTGTCAACTGAGTTCTAAAGTAACTGAACTAGCCTGTAAGAGAAATATTTAAAGCTTTAGATACAACTTTGATAACCAATAGTGAAACAAAGTTTTGTACATACATTTGACTTGTTTTGAATATGTTATTTTAAAGCAAGTGGATTGTGTGCTGTCCGACTATTGGTAACATTTATTGCCAATAAGTTACAGACATCTACTGTAAAAGAATCCCAGCCCATATTCAAAACCTGACAGTGTTCAGAGCTTTAAATAATTATCTTTTTGTCAAAGTCCACACATGCTGGTTCAATTACTTTATAACACCCTTTGACAAGACAGTTATTCTCCTCTATCTCTGTTATTACAATACAAGCTGTGAAACTCACTTTAGAAATCACCCATTATGGCTAAACTCACATGCAGTCTAACTCCCCTTTTACTTTCACTAACTTAACTTGCAAGGTCGATTATCTATATATATATTGCCTAACTGAGGCCTAGAACTTTCTACAAAAACTACAAGATGTTATGATATAACAATACTCACTTAAATCAACAAGAAAAACTTAGAAGGTTCTATTAACATGGCATCAATTCACAACAATTGAACTACACAACAAACGATTTGTAAACAGTTAAGTAAGAAAACTTGCAATAAATTGTTGCTTCTAAAAATACTAAATTGAACACTCATGCTTTATAACTATCTAACTTATAATTTTTGTATTGAATTTAAATGAAACAGTCGTGTATATCTAACAATTTTGGGTGCACACTACACAATATAAAGGAATCCAGAAATCAAAAACATTTAATGTATACTACACGGTATAAAAGAATCCAGAAAGCAAATTATTTTGGTGTATACTTCAAAGTACAAAGGAATCCAGTGAACATTTCTGTACAGACTATGTAGTATAGACGAATCTAAGGAACAAAATATTTTTGTAAACACAAAATAATATAAAGGATTCCAGCATAGTTCACATTTTTCAATTTTGAAAATGTATTTCTAATAGATACTTTCTTCTACTCACTTTTCTTGATTTTGTGCTGCTTTCTGTATGTACAATTTCTTGCTCTCCACTCACCTTAAGGCTCCAAACTAAATTTACATGTTCCTATATGTTATTGCTGTGCTGTAGCATGCAAGTGATAATGCAATAACCCTCCTAGTGCAGCTGACTCTGTCTATACTGATTGTTTAATCATCACTTGAAGATTAGGAAAGAAAAGATTCACTGGAAGTGGGAAAGACGAGTGAGATAAGTATCTATTGGAAATACATTTTCAGTGTTGAAAATTGTCAACTTGTGATATGATACCTTACCTCCACTCACATATTAACTGGAATCCCACATTGAAATGGTGGAGGGACAGGTGCAAAAGTTACCTAGATGAGCACCCTTTAAAAAGTGAACGAAGGGTACCCATGGAGTCTGAAGCCCTATACCATGGAAAAGTTAAACCCATGGGAAACTGCACCCCCATTCTGAACCAGGATATACTCCTTGCCCATAATAAATATAAATTTCAGGAAGTCAGATGGAAAAAAAGCACACTTCAGAATCTGAGTATGGAGCATGAATGTGTCATGGGGTGTAGTGTCGCTATGGTACATCAGACCATATGTGGTAGGTCAACTCCAGTTTCAAAACCAGGCAGCATCAGGTACTTTTCAACTGGTCTCTGGTAGGATGATGGTCCCAACCATCTTCATCTCAATTCCAGGAAGTAGAAGGGGAGAGTAGCTTCCATTCTGCTGACCTAGGGAGTGCTCACCTGTGCTGTCCCTGCACATATCCAACACCAAGCCACCTGGGAACCCAATATCTTGACAATGGTAGGATGAGGAAAGGCATATGTGGTGTGTCAACTCCACTCCAAAACCAGGCTGTGTGAGGTATGTTTCTTCTGGTCCATAGTAGGAGAAGGGTCCCTACCAACCACATGAGTAAGGGCTTATGTTAGCTGGTCCTGTACCTATACAACACCAGACCACCTGTAAACCTACATCCAGGTAGCGGTAGGATGGGGAAAGTCAGCAGGGGTGAACTGTATTTGGTGGATCATCTCCAGTCCAGATGGCATCAGGAATTTTTGTCTGTTTCATAGGAGGAGGGTCTCCACCATCTACACTAACAAAACACTGCACCCTACTCTTTACTGAGTAAAATTTGTCACACATAACGGAGGAAGCCTCCATTATCCACAACCCCAGTGGCTAGGAACCGGCGAATGGCAGGGACTCGCATACTCCACTAGAAAAAAAGGGGTGGTGGTGAAAGCACATTGGGGAGCCCTTAACACAATGCAATGAGTGACCATGAAACCGTATTTTTTAAACCAGGCCAGTCCCAGTTTATTCAACAATGAACAGAGGGATGGGCAGCTATCCTGACACTGCTTTACTCATGACAGCCCACGAGTATGTACAAACTAGCTCAGGCCTTGTTTAGCAAATAATATAC